GCAGTCAAGCTGAGATCCTCGTTCCCTGATTCTTACAGCAAGGGGCTGATCCTGCTCGTGCTGAACACGTGCCAAAATCCAGAGATGAGTGGCAGAAGTCAGAGTTGCTCAGCACCTTCCAGGATTACAGCCTTTGGGCTGAGTTCTGGGCTAGCTTGGATGGATCCCGCATGGTGCTCGGAGCCTCCTGGGAGGACCAGGTAAGTTTGCATCCCACGCGGGGTTCGGCAGGGCCGGCCCAGCAGCGCTGCGCTTTGGGAGGAGGGAAGGTCGTGCATCTGCAAAGCCGTCAGACCCGGGCGCAATCAACCCTTACTTCTAAAGTTTTTCCGTTGGGTTTATTAAACCAGGGTTGTTCTTCATGGCTGAGTTTGGGCCTAATTCTCACCTGAGTGATGACGGCTGCCAACCAGTACAACCAGCAGTGAACTGGGCCACCATGCAGGCACTGCCCCAGGCCATGGGGCTCCTGCTCCTCCCCTGGGGCAAGGCAGCATCATGCAGTGACTTGCTGGTGTTTCCCGAGGATTGCCTCTGAAAGGAAGGGAGAGCAACCTGGGGCTGGTCTGCCCTCGGATGTGGCATTTCTGTGGCAACTCAGGCTTATAAAAGAGGAACTAGCAGTTTTGATTTGTGTGACCGCATTAACGATATGCACAGTATTTGAATTTCATGTGACGTGCGGAGAGAAGTTGTCCAAATTAGCTATTTATAAGGAGTGAAGTCAACTGCCAGGCAGCAGTGTGCCGTTGATTTATTCTCTCTGAAACTTTAGAGACCTGCATGACACTTGTACAAAGAGCGGCTGTGCGCAAAATGTTTTATTCAATACTTGTTTACAAAGACAAACGCAGCACCCTGTGATGCCTAAAAAAGCCAACCAAAAATGACACATTCCCAAGAGGTACTTAAAATTCTTACAGCTCTATTAACAACAAAATCACATGTATTAGTGGTTCTGTTGACTAAACAAAGACACTCTATATTGTAAAACTGACTACAGATAAGCTTTGAAACCAGCTGTATGTGGGTCGCAAAGAGTGCGGGTATCCCGGGCGCTGGAGGAGCTGCTGTTGATGACCCCAAAAGCTGCTGTATGTGCAGGGAATTTGCCCTCAGTGCGTGATGTTGCCATCGCGTAGCGGTGGATGTCATTTTCCCCTGATATCTCGAGTCTTTTTGTGCTGTTTTAACCCCTTACCCGCTGGGCCAGAGGTGGGGAGCTGATGGCTTCACAGTGCTCTTGCAGCCTCCGTCTCCTCTCCTGGTGGCAGAAAGCCACCTCCTTGCAAGCTTTCGCCATGTTGAGTGAGAGACTCACCAGTGTGGACTCACCCTAGGTGGGACTCCTTTCCAAGGTGGGAAAAATAACACTATCTTATTTTTTTTCCCCCTCCCAGATCAAGGATCCCTTACCCACAGGCACATTTCAGCTGCAGGGGAGCGGAGTGGGGCTCTGAAAAATCAGACACCGGTTTGCATCAGATAGACGGAGCAATCCTCTGCTTTGCTATATGTCCTCCTCCATCCAGAGGGTTATTCTCCAGGGAGAGGTAAGTCTCACTGCAGCTTTCTGCACCCAGGTACCATGTTCAGTGCATGACGGCCAGGATGGTAGAGCTCAAGAGGTGACAGGTTAATGAGCCCAGCTGAAGAAGCAGTTGCACAGGACATGGAACTCAGCTGATTTAATTGTGTTCCTGTTGCAGGTCAGTGGGGTCGTTCAAGGAAAGGCCATCTGAATGGCTGCATTTGATGTATTGTTACCCCAAATGTTGGGCCAGCACTTGGCACAGCGGAGACGGGCAGGGACATCCCATACGAGCTTGGGGAAAAGTACAAAACAATTATCATTAATGACAATGATGGCTTTGTTAGGTCACTGCACTAACATTATAAATGAGGCACAGGAAACTCATGTTAACTGAGAAATCATGCTTTCAGCAAAACTTTTGCATAGGAAGCCTCTTGGGGAATCAAATCCTGGCCTAATCCAATGGAAACCGGACAGACGCTGTGCTCCTCCAACTCCCATTGCTCCAGGAACAGGGAGTGCTCAGCCCCATGAAGGATCAGTCCCTTGGCTACTAGAATACAGCCAGGAGAGAGAGGAAAACAGCACTATAAATCTCGCTGTGAATGCGGGCAGGCAGCTCCTGGGGTCAGAGGAGGCAGCGAGGACTCTGAATAACCCTCGACAGCTGCCCCGTCCCTGCCAGGACATCCCAGGCTTGCTGTTACCCAACCTGAGGGACACGTCCAGGAGGGGACACCACTATGCAGGCTGCCCCAGGTTGGCTCGGGGACAGCGGGGACCCTGATTGTCCCAGCACGGACAGCCAAGCTTTGCCTAATGCACTCAGTATCTCCTGGGTTTCATCGAGGGCTGTTTTCTCGCCTGGTTTAAATTAGTTTAGCTCCACTGACCTCAAAGGATCTGACTTGGTACTCAGAACAACACCAGCTAATGCCAGCTGTGAATCAGGGTCTTTGTCAAGGTCCCTGGGCATAGTTTTTCTGCTCTACCTTGTTTATAAAGCTTTGTGCATTTTTTTTAATTTATGTAAGAAATAAAATAACTCTTCTGCTCCATTTTTATAAAAAAATATATTATGATCACCGAGTTTACAGCTTATCTTGTCTCATCCCTGTCAGATACTGATGTGATAAAGATCCTCCCAAATGAGTTCAAGCCTTAGAAGAAACCCTGCTACTACCCCAAAAATCCCCCTTTTTGCTCAAGATGTTGATCTGAGTCTGTTGGCTGGGGAGCTGGGATGAGCTGTCTGTGGATCTCAGATGGACAAACCTGAGCCCTGATGCCACAAAGCAACATCCCGGATCTGCTCCCGGCAGTGGGACACGCGGTCTCTGACCAGCCTGTGCTCCACAGATGTCCGTCTGTACACCACAGTCCCAAAAAGCCCTCCCAGGGTGCCCAGGGTCCTCCTCAGAGCTGTTGATCTAGAATTGGTTTAACTGTGGCTGGTTTTGTAAATGATAATTTCTTTGCCTTTTTTCTTACTCTTCCCGAGATCCTATGGGATGTCCTTGCCCTTCTCTGCTGTACCAGGTGCTGACCCGGTGTTTGGTATGACCCCTTCTAATCGAGGAGGGAAACAGGATTCTCTGATACACTGGAAAGTATAATTGTATCATGCTATTTTCTTAAACCACGGTTAAAGGAACAGCGAACTGTTGATCGAATTTATTAGGCAAAACAAGCAATCCGCATCTGGAGTTACTCAGCGGATGGTGGATTGATTTGCTGGTTTTATTGTGGAAGGGCTCTTGGCAGGAACCGTCACACTGCGATGTTAAACCTCCCATCTCCCATTGATCTCTGCCTCGGCAAAGGGGCCCTTCCAGATTCGGCCTCTCGTGCTGTCTGGGCCTGCCGCCACTCGCAGCCAGTTGTGCCAATACAAACACAAACCACCTCCTTTCCCGGCATGGCTGTGATTCATCGCTGGTTCGCTCGCTGCGGCATCGAGAGCCCTCACGCGAGGGCTGATGGCTGGAGCGGGCACTGGTCTGTGCCGGGGGTGCCATGGATGCCCGCGGCACCCACCGCCGGGAGAGGCAAGCCTGGGCATTGCAGGTTGGACCTGCGTGCCTCCGCTGGACCTCTTCTGCCTTTAAGCTTAGCTTAAAGCAAAGACTCTGGTCCTTGAGCCCTCCATCCTCCTCCCTGCAGGGCAGCCAGGCACAGCAGGACCTGGGATGGACACCCTGCACCGCCCTCGCCAGCGACCTGCCTGTTGCTCAAGGCACTGAAACCTGCCTGGATCTCGCAGGCAGCCCCAAGGACACGCTCTTCTTCATCCTCACCATCACCACTGATGCTCCTTAGGTGGCTTCTTGTCCACAGCACAGATGAAAATGTAATGCCTGAACAGAAAAGTAATTTAAAAAAATCAGGAAGTAACGATCTTCCAGTCTGTATGTAAAGCTTATTGCACTTAAAGCTGATAGCCAGACATTTGAGAGGGAACGTCACTGCCAGATCCCTTTTGGAGCACAGCTGCCAACCGCTTGCCTCAAGCAGTAACGTTGCTTCCAAACCCACACAGAAATCCAGATGATGCCTCAGGACCTCGCCTTTAGCTTGCTTTGGGCTGCAAAGGGCCAAATCTTCCCCTTCGGGCAATGCCCCGCTCCCACGAACATCAGCAGGCCCTGCTCAGAGCCTGGGCTGCGGGGGACGGCCGGGGAGCCCAGCCTGGACGCCTTTCCACATCCCTCAGAAGGGTGAGTGTCTCATGCAGGATTTTTTGGCACCGTGCGATGCACCTCAGAACATCAAAGCA